ATGCGGCCGCCACCCACCGGAGCCGTCCCTCCGTTGCCCGAGGTGCGACTCGCCCAACACCAAATTCTGCTACTACAACAATTACAGCTTGGCCCAGCCCCGCCACTTCTGCAAGACCTGCCGCCGCTACTGGACCCGCGGCGGCGCCCTCCGCAACGTTCCCATCGGCGGCGGCTGCCGGAAAACCAAGAAACACAAGCCCTCCGGCGACTCCAACGCCCCTTCCGGCCCCGATTTCTCCCACGCCGTGGAATTTCCCAAAATACCCTCCCTCGCCATTTCCTCCAGCCCTTCCTTTAGCGCTGTGGGTTTTCAACAGATGGGCTCATTTATCAACTCTCAGAGCAGCCTCACGATTGAGTCGTTGAGCTCCATCAATCAAGACCTTCACTGGAAGCTGCAGAGGCAGAGGCTGGCCACCCTGTTTTCCGGCGGTGATGAAGCTCACAAGAACCAGAAAAACTTTGAGCCGGCCGGTTCGTGTGGGAATCATATTACCAATATTGGCCTCTCGACCGAGTTGTTTTTCAACAATCCTTATGCTGACGTGGCTCCGAGCAATTTAAATGAGGGTACCAGCTGGAGTAGTGGAATCCAGGATTTGTACTGAAACCAGCAGTATAATAGTACCTTTATTTTTCTTTTTTAATTTAATTAGTTATGTTACTTAAGAATTGTGTGCAAAAAAAAAAAAAGATGCAAATTTTCTGATTTTGAATGTGGTTAGTTTCTCTTGTTTCATTTGGGCGTATCAGATGGTGATATATGTGAAAATAATTTCCAGAAAGAGGGAGAAAATTAAAGTAGTAGCTTTTGGGAATTTTAATTTAAGAACTTCCAATTTCATGTACAAGGAACAAACTTTGCAATTAAGAACTGTTTAATTGTTGTTTAATTGCACTTTGTAGTTAATTAATTATGATAATTTTTTATACTTTTAGATTTGGATGTCCACCACAAGCATATAGTCTATGCAGCAATATTGAAAAATTGAAATGTACTGTGTGAAAGGGATACACTCACTGATAAAATTATTGTAGCCAGCTTTACTCAGTCCAGACTTTAAAATCATATTTTCTCTTCTATTTCATTTGAATTTCAAGATAAAATAGTGCAGAAACATGCAATATTGCATCGCCTTGTACGTAATAATACTTCTACAGTTCAAATTAAATAAGTTCAACATCCAAATTTTCGGCCTACAAATTAATTTACTTAGGCGGCTAGTCGATAAGGCCAGTTATAAGGTGATATAAAGTTTGTATGATTGCTTAGCAGCTAAATGAAAATCTTCCCTATGACTCTAATTACATGAAAAAAAAAAAAAAAAA